CAAAATATGGAAAAGTAAGCAAATGCTGCTAAGCTCATGTAGTTTGTATCACTGTGTGAACTTAAATACTATACGATGAATTCCAGCTTCATGAAGTACAGACATCTACTCAGCTGAAAGATACACGAAATATTCAATGACATAATTTATTTTCTCATAATTTTTATTTTACCCATTCCCTAAATAATGTGACTTAAACTCCATTCCTTAGATACACCCATGCTTATCTCTGAAGCCAGCAAAGGTGGGGTGGCAGACAGATCACTGAGTAAGCAATGTATCATGACTTAGTTTCTTAAATATAAACTTGTAGTATATTTTTCCATAAAGCATTCTTATGTGCAACCCCCCAAGTTAGCATAGTATTATATATGATGAAGCATTTTAGGCTATATATATATATATAGTAATCAACTCATTAGGTTGTTTAAAAATTGTATCTAATTCAGATTTATTTGTAATAAAAGTAGTTTTCAGTAATTACAGATATTACTCATCCACCAATAACACAACAGGAAGAAAAAGCCTACATCCCTTCCATTTTCCCTGAAATAGTAACTAAATTGTATGGCACCGGCAGACCATATACACTAATGGTATATTTCTTATTGGACTACCTACTTTCCTAATCAGGCAGCTACCAATTTTCTCCCTAAACTAAAGAAAAAAAAAAAGAGGACTTTTGCTTGGAATAAATGGTACTGTATCAATAAAGTACAGAAATATTTGAGGGAAATAATAAACAAAAATGTGAAGTGGGTACATGTATACCCACACACATCCCTCCTCTAATACCAAAACGGAAAAACAACAGGTAATCCTCTAACCTCATGGGGAGAGGGGAAAAAAGGGATTTGAAAATACGAGTATTTTTTAAATGTATTATAAATCCAAGAAAAAGAGGTTTAATTGTCTAATGATCTGTACATATGCCACCTTTAAAAATGTAATCATTCCTTTTGAACTATATCTTAGTATCAATTTGCGTTTTAGGCAAGTTCTCCAATACCTCTAAACTTCTTTGAAACTAAGGCTCCTGTTTAATACAAAATAGGATGTCAGTTGATCAATACCCATTTGGCTTAAAATCTTAAGTCCATAACTTCCCTTAAGTATTAGAACAAACAGGTACAAAGCCTGAAATTATTGTTTCTTTTTAAGCTCAAATGATATCTGCAGGTGCCAAAAGGCATTTTAAAAGCAGTCACCCTTCCATCATGAAAACGGGGAGATGGGGAAGAGGGAGACTCTCATGAGGCCTTATATGTCAAGTTTCTGCCCAGAGCTAATTTTCATAGCTATGTTATAAAATCCTGAAAATAGAGGTTTATAATGGAAATGCTGACAGACCCTTAACTATAACAGGGAAAATGGATATAATTAAAGAAAAGCTTTTAGCTACACCTAACACCACAAATGAAGGACTGCCATTTTTATATTAACCTCAAATAGCGGCAAGTGAAAACTGGAAATATGAATCCATAAAGGTAATGTGAAATGTTAAAGATGACTGCTAAAACTATTTGACATTCAAAGTTTGAAACAGAGGCATTTAGTTAACATAACTAAGTCAGTATTTTCATAGCGCTACTTAATCAGCAATAAAGAATGCTCTAGTGAGCCATCAGCTTGAGTTAGCAGAATGTGGCATATGAAGTTATTATTTCTTAACAGCCTAGAGGGAGCTGCTTCTCCCTTTAATCAGTAATCTTAGTTCCTTCCCACCTATACTTTCTCTGTCATATAGTTATAAAACTATTACCTGTTCACCACACACACACACACACACACACACACACACACACACACACACACGCACCCCTCCCACATTTATGCAAGGACTGTTACTTTATTCCCACCTGAATTTGAAAACAGAGGAGAGAAGGTAAAGTATTTCATTCTTTCTCTTGACCAAGGATGCAGCCAGGAATAAATATCATCAATTTATGCAATCCATCTTCTCTACCTAAATCAAAAGTCAAAGAATTTAGCTGTGTTCTCAACTCTAAGGGGAGGAGGGGGATTGGACCAATAGTTTAATTTTTAAAAAACTATCCAGAATGTTGCTTTTAACCTTTCAAATAGTATTAGCAACATACAGCATACTTAAAATTATGGCTACAAAATGATCTTCAATAAGGTTAGATTTTGGATTAAGAAATCAGTAACAAATCTCTGTGATCAGGTAATAAAAGGACTGTACCTTACATTTTCCTCCCTCTGCTTTCTTCATTAGTTTTAGCTTTTTATTTTATGTGTATGAGAGTATTGTCTGTATGTATGTAAGTGCACCCATGTTGTGCAATGCCCATGTAGGCCAAAGAGGGCATTGGATCCACTGGAACTGGAGTTAGGGATGGGTGTCAGCCACCATGTAGGACTGAACCCAGGTCCTCTGTAAGAACAGCAAGTGCTCTTAACCACTGAGTCATCTCTCCAGTCCCTCAAATTTCTATTTTTGAAATCTCTCCAAATAGCAAGACAAGTCATTTCCTTTTCACGTTTCCACTAAAATTTTATTTTATTTCTATCTCAGAATGCATTTTCTAAGTATTTCCCACACAATGATCTAAAAATAAAAATGGAAAATTGGCAGTATCTATTTATATTTAAAATACATACCAACTCATTCCTAAAGATTAATCCACAGATATGCTTCTACAAATACAAAGATGCATGCTTATATAAAAATATTTTCTAATAATATATGGTAAATATAAATTTTCATTATTGGGGACAGAGTGAATAAAGCTTGATACAGCTCTATAATGAATTACTAAGCAGTCATTAAAGGATTAGGTAGATTTCCATGCACCAACATAAAATGTTCAGAAAATATTAAGCAAAAAATGAGACTGCTGGGGGCTGGAGAGATGCCTCAGAGGTTAAGAGCACTGACAGCTCTTGCAGAAGACCCAGGTTCAGTTCCCAGTACCCACAAGGTGTCTAACAACTGTCCCTAACTTCAGTTCCAGGGGATCCAGTGTCCTCTTCTGACCTCTGTGGGCATTACATGACAAAAGTGCACTTACATACATGCAGGAAATATAGCTGTGCCCATAAAATAAAATAGTTTTTTAAAAAAGGAGATTGCTAAATGTGGATCATATGCTTTAAACATACAAACAGCAGAAAGTGTCTGGAAAGACCTGAAATTCAGAACTACAGCAAGGTCTTTCAGCCTTAGTATTGCTGAAATTTTTGGCGGGATTTGCTGCAGGGCGGTTAACAGCTTGCCTGGCCTCTGCCCACTAGATTGGAGTGGCATCTTCCTAGTTGTGACAACTGGAAATATCTCCAGACCTTAGCAAATGTCCGCTAAAGGACAAATTCATTCCCAGTTGAGAACCACTAAACTGGAGAATGAAGAGGTGTGAATTAACCCATTTTTACCATATTAAAATTAATTTTAACAACAAAAGAAACCTGCCAGAGTAGAAGAATTTATGGGTTATGACTCTTTGCTTGAAGAGCTATGTGAAGCTAAGCACGGTGGTCCACAGAACTTGTTATCCCAGAACTTGTGAGGTGAGAGTAGAGGCAAGAGATCAGGAATTCAAGGCTAGCCTCAGCTACATACTGAGTTTGAGGCCATCTTGACCCCATCTCAATTCCCCAACATGCCACTAAAAAAATGCTATGTAATATAAAATTGACTATTGAGAGTAAAAATGGAAAGGCAAAAAAATAAATCAATTCTGCTACTTTCTTCCCATGACTTCCCGTTTCCGAGATGATACACTACCCCTTTTCTTACTCCTATGCTCACGTGTCTTCTAGAGACAGTTCCCCATTTCAGGATGGTTCTGAACAGCTCTCTCCTCTTTCTTATAAGACACATACATTCAGACAAACCAAAACGAGATGAGAAAGGTGGAAATTTCTAGTTAATCTAAGAAGCACAGGGAAATGTCACCACTTATTAAAAAACTGAACAAACAAAATTAGTCTAAGTAAAACACAAAATCTGCTAATAAATTTTGCTTGATAAAAAAAAGTTTACACAGAAGAACCATCATTAGTAAGCTTTTTCCTATGAAACTGGCTACTCTTAACACTGTGGAACAACAGGATAGCAGGAGGATAATTACTAATGAAAAAGTTTGGCTGAGTCTATACCATGAAACTCATGAAAGCAATACATATAAAGCTATATAAAACCTAGGGAGAAGTGAAAGCTTGTATGAGTCAGGATAAGGGAAATTAAGGAAACTCTTAAATTCAGTAATGAAAAGATTTTTCAAATTGGCCTTTTAATGTGATAGTAAGGAAGGTGGCAGTCTCCTCACTAACTGGTCATGAGTCAAATAAAATCATTTTTGTTTTCTTTATTCTTGTGTATATGTATATATCTGGGGTGGGGGTAGGGGGCATGTGCATCTGTGAATGCAGGCACCCAAAGATGAACTCAGGTCCCCTGGAGCCGGAGTTGCTGGTGCCTCCAGTCCTTTGTAAGAGTAGTATGTACTCTTAACCACTAAGGCATCTCTCCAAAGCCTACAATTATATTTCTATAAACAACTTCCAGCCATCTTTTCAGCAACTGTGACTATACTCAGTGATAATGTTCAACCTATTAAGAAGGCATATTTAAAAAGTAAAGCTTACATGAAAACTGCTTAAATGCAATAAATATTATAACTATTGTTCATAGCCATCACTAATTTTGGGTCTGAATATATCTGTACGTTAACATATACATATGCTTTACATAAGTGATGTCCGTTAGAATAAAACAACATTTATTTCAGAATCTAACAGTCATAGAAGGAAATATTTGAGGCAATTGAAGATACAATTAATATTACAGCAAATTTAAAGAAACTTACTTTTGCCTGTGTCTGTATAAAAACTTTCTGAAACCTTTGATTGATTTACACCAATGAAGTAGAAAAATAAACCCTTTCTTCTACATTTCGAGCTCATAAGCATGTCAAAGAAGAAATTTCAATCAGCATGGTGGTACTATAAAGCAATCAGCACAATGTTGGAAAACATACCTGACTCTGGCCAGAACAGCTTGTAGAAAGCTCAGCACTGTCCTAAGTTCAGATTCTCGACAGGCTCGCAGAAGCATGCTAAATCCATCATTAAGTAGGTTCTCATGGGAAGAATGTAAGCAGTAGCTGGTCTCAAATACTTCTTGAACACCATCAATATAGACGGAAAGAAGTGTCCACAGAGTATGTCTCTGTACCATTTCATCGTTCTTGGATACCAAGAATTCTTTTGCTTTCTCTCGGAACTCAGAAGAAAATTTCTCAGCCAAAACACCAATGTCCAGGTTTTTCTGCGTATACATCAAAAGGAATGCCATCTGACCCTTCCAAATGAGGGCTCTCTGAGATGAAGTAAAGGTAGGCTTGAGGAAATTCAGGAGGTCTAAAACATGGCTTGCTACATCTTCTATCTCTGCAACAGCTGCTAATAGTAGAAAAAGGTTGAAAAAGTTCTGTAGGCCAACTTCAGTTAGCTCTTCCATTCTTTTTTGATGAAACTTAGAATATATTCTATAAAAGAGGAAAATCAATGAAATTCTTTCACTAAGATCGATCTCTCACAAATACTCTTCTTCCTTCACTATTCATGAGATTATCACTATAAAGACTGAGCTAATTCATGTGTGTGTCGTGCATAGGCATGTGCACACAGGTCCACGGACATTTATTGATAGGAGGGGTCTTCCTTGTCATCCTACATTGTTTGAGTCTGTCTCTCTGAACCCCGTGAGCAACCTTTCAGCTAGTCTGGCTAGCCAGTTTGCCTAAGGGATGCCATCATCATCTGCAATACCAAGGGCTTAAATTTGTAGGCACTGCCCTGCTGGCCCAGGTTATACATGGTGCGGGAATCCTAACTCCCATTCTCATGCTTACAGAGCAAGCACTTTATCCACTGAGCCATTTTCCCAGGACAAGTTTTAGCTAATTCTTCATTTTGATGTTGCCCTGTCACTTTTTCTACCTAGGAAGAAGACCTTCGATTAATGGATGGTCTATCACCTTTCTACTGCCTAGTGATGCAGTAAACCATTACAAGTGAATCACAGAACTCAGAAGATTTTGTCAAAGGCGAGTGGTAATTCTCTTTTCATACAGTACAGTTTTTGTATTTTATTGGCAAATAAGATGGAATACATGCTATAGTCTGGATCTCACATGTAGTTTGTTCAACAGTGCAGTGCTACTGGGAGGTGATGGAACTGTAGGTGAGGCCTAGCAGATCTCCGAGCTTTAACAGACACTACCCTCCTTCTCACTCTTTTTATTTTTGTCACTTTATAATTTGGTGAGTGGTTTTTACTCTGCCATGTGTTACCATCAAGATTTGCCGCCTCATCCAAAGAAACAGATCTAATGGATCATGAACTGAAACCTTTACCACTAAGAGCCAAAGCAAACCTTCAGTATTTATAAACTGATTACCTCAGGCATTTGTTACAGAAACAGAATACTAACATAAGTAATCTTCAAAGTATAATTTGCTGGGATCTTACAGAAATTTTAATAGTACAGTTTTCTAAAACAACTTTTTAAAAATATTTTTCCCTTACTCCTCAGAAAAACCTGATTTTACTTCTATATCTTAGGAAAATTCAAAGTGCTACATGATTTTTGCCCACTTGTAAAAAAGAAAATTATAAGTGCTCAAATAGCTAAGCTAGTCATTAAGAAAATCTCTCATCATGGGGCTCGAGAGATGGTTTGGCAATTAAAAGCACTGACTGCTCTTGCAGAGGACCTGGGTTTAGTTTCCAGCACCCACACAGTGGCTAACAACCAACTCCAGTTACCAGGGATCCAATGCCCTCTTCCGACCTGACCTACAGGGGCACTGCACAACATGGATGCACTTACATGTATTCAGGCAATAATACACACATACACATAAAATAATAAAATATTAAAAAAAAGAAAATCATCAAAACTACTTAATATAACCTAATAATTTATGTACATTTCTTTCAACATTCACAAAATTAGAATCTGGAAACAATTCATAAGTTCTATAACTGGTTCTTCATGATAGAAATAATTTAAGTTCACAAGTTAAATGTTAATTTATGGAGAACTATGTAAGAGCTAATATGCCCCGCAAAGCAAAAATCTGCTTATCTTTGTTTCTTTTACTTTTCCCACTATAGTGGTCGATATATAGTGTTAGTCTAATAAATGTTAAGTGAATCACAATGATTTCTTTAACTAATAAAGTTCTGAGTATTATGTCTTACATAAAGTATTTAAGATTCAAAGACAAACAACTAAACAAGAAGAAAACTATTATTTGAAACTGGGGTTTATAGCCTAGTGCAGGTCATGTGCTTATATAAGTGAGGTCCTGAGTTTGAGCTATAGCATCCTTCCAAAGAAACTACTGTTTGAGCCACATAATTCTTGAAGTTTTAAATACGAAAACTATCTTTAAAAGATTTCTTTAAAAAATATATTCTAAAGTTTTAAAAATCCAAATTCTATTGTCATAATAATATTACAAGAATTATTTACTGTACAGATCAAGTAAGAATTTCATTAACTGGGTATTTTTAGTTTTATTTGAAAAGTATCTCATATAGTCTCAGCTGGCCCTGAATTCTCTATGTAGCAAAGGTGAATTCTTAATCCTCCTACCTCTACCTCCCAAGTGCTGGGAAAGACATATCACTACACAGCTCATTAAATGATTCTTGAAAACTCCATACCCAGAAAAAGAAACATTCTCTCCCTCAAAGTTCTCATCAAACTAAGTGAGCAAGTGGCAGATGGTTGTATACTATACAAAGAGGGCTAAAAAGAGTAGTAGGCACGGAAGTAGGAAAGGAAGAATAAAAACTCCATCCATTAAACAAGGAAAGCACAAAACCAGAGAGGGGAGGAAAGGAGGGAGGGAGGGAGGCTGAACAGTAATGTAAGTCATACCAGAAACAAAAACTAGACGTGCTCCTCAAATGACAACATTAGAATTATCTAGTTCAAATCTCATTGAAGGAACCAGCACTTGATACTGCTGGGCTCGAAGAACACAAAAACTTTAAACACTGAACCTAATAGCTACCGATATACCATAAAGATTTTTTTTCTATCACTTTTAATAAAAGCAAATAAAAGGATTATATAACATTATAATTAATTTTGATGAAAATCCTTCCCAATACTACTTTATTTAATATACAGAACTCCAATCTTTAGTACTAATGAGATAAATACGAATGTGAAACCCTCTAGTTTATGAATATTAAGTTTGCTCCTCCTAACAAACTGGCAGGCTCAAAAAGTTCCATATTTTGCATTCCTATGTGAAGGAATACATTTTACATGTATAAGGACTCTAACCACAAGTTAACTTAAACATACAAATAGTAACACTTCACCAAAGATATCAATGAATATTCCTGACAGAAGAACACACCTTCCTTTGACTTGTTTCCAAGGATGAAGGCCACTGCTTTTCATTGCTTTCTTAACAACTTTTGCCAAAATGCAAAGAAAAATAATGTAACTGTTGCCGGATTTATACAAATCAGGATCTTGTTTATCACAACAGCAGGTTTTCACCACTTCAAGCATAGACAAGGGTGATTTGGTATTAGTAAAGCCTTTCAAAGGTAGCCGAGAAATACTGAAGGAGCTATTCTAAAAGAAAAAAGAAACATAAACTACAGGCATTAGTTTCTTAGCAAATAAAACAGAAAACTGTAAATCTCAATTGGCTCATAAAAGTATGACTCATTTTACTTACACAAGCTATTTTTTATTACATTGTCATTGTCATATATACCCCTCTTGTCACCTCCATCCTCACCTGCTAAGCCCCTCATCCCAAATGACTCCCCTTTACTTTAATGCCTTTTTTTTTTTTTTTTAATAAAATCTAGATTTCACAGATGAGAGAAAACATGCAACACTTGTCTTTCTGGGTCTGGCTTATTTTGTTTAACATGATGATCAAAGGTTCCATCTATTTTCTTCTAAATTACAAAATTTCTTTGCCCTTTATGGCTGAAATAAGACCGTATTGTGCATATACACCATATTTCCTTTTCCATTATCTTTTATCTAAGCAGGTTTTAATAATAAAGTTGTACATAAGATCACTCTACTCCTACATATTCTCAATTGTTCTTCCTTATATTTGCCTTTTTTCTTCGCTACTTTGCTCGGTGTGGGTTTTCAGTCCAGTTTTTTTTGTTTGTTTGTTTGTTTGAAGGCCGCTATCCATTTTGTGACCAGTGATCGCCATATTGCTGGTGTGGATGTCTACGCGGACATCTGTGTCACTAGCTTCTTCTTACTGTACCTGTCTAATTCAGATGACATACTTCACCCTGGGATCTCGGCGTTGCCAGTCTGCTGGCCTTTATAACAGTTGCCGCATGACCTGAACTTCCTTATTCTTTTGGATGGGCAAAGACTGAACACTACTGCTATCTCAACTCTTTTCAAATTGTGGAGACATAATCTTCCTCCCCATGTGAGAAGACGCACTGACATGCCTTTTCTGGTTCTTGCTTCGGTCAGCTCACAAAGAAACTGAACTTCATTTTGGTGCATGCCACTGTAGCAACGACCGCCAAAGGGAAGAGCCCCTTCATACTCTGGATGATTCCATAACTTGGTTATTATGACTAGTGCTAAAATAAATATGGATGTGCAAGTATCTCTTTTTACACTCAACCAAGCATATACACCATGCATTTTCTATATCATGTTATTAGCTGTACAGAGTTTCTTGTGTTCTGGATTTAACTACTTGTATCCCTTTACGGTCACCTCACATTCTTTTTTAAAAATTATTACTAAAGGTGTTTTCTTGACAATTTCATACACGAATATAGTGCATTCTGTTTATTTTCACACCCCCTTAATATTCTTTCATACCTGTCATTTTGCTTAATTGGTGGTTATATCTACAGGCTTCACTATTCATGTTAGTTTATGGCTGAACTTTTCTCTTAGCAGTTACTATTGCATTGCATAAAGAGGCAAACACTTTCTGACACCTTGTGGAACAGCACAATCTGTCCATGTCAGTGGTTTCCAGTCATTTCACTCTGAATAGTTTTAGCAAACACTGATGTTCACTGTCCAGATGCCTTGTCTCCCTAAACACACAAAACAATGATTTTGTAACTTCACCACTTCTAACTAAGCTCACTAGAAATTTGGCTACTCTAAAATACAGTGTCTTCCTTTACTTCCAGTTTCCAAAACGATGTATATTTGTTTTGTTCTTTACCATGGGTAATTATTATAAATTTAGCAACTTGAATGTATTTAATGTTTCTATCCATTGCAGTTACCACTCTTATGCCTAAATTTTCATTCTCTAAGCAGTGGAGTTCTTTCAAACTGGCTTCTGACATGACTTAGATATTGTCCATGCTTTCCTGTGTGACAAGATATTCCTGGCTCACTTCACCTACATTTTGCATCAGATCTACAAATCCGTCATTTATCCAACCAGCCTACACTGTATTTTAGTTATTTTTCTCGATTTAATGAGCTCCATCACATACAAATCAAAACTTGGTATTTTTTGGAAAATCTTCCATTACTATTTTCTATCTTGATAAAAGTTAAATGTTTATTCCAAAACCCAAATATCCTAACCCTTTCTTTTCTCCAAACAAGTAACTGAATTATTTAAATCTAGCTTTGAAGTATTTATTTTCCAAATTCATCCTCTTTTCTAAATCCATTGTCTTCTAGTTCTCAGTCGCATTATTTGTGTACACTACTACTAACTATATCTGTACTCAATTCATTAAAAAAAAACACCACATGCCCAACAGATACCACATGTCATAGTGTTGCTTTCCACTGTTTCCTTAATGAATAAGAATTCATCTGTACATTATCTTCAGCCCTTCATTGTCAAGTAGTCTACCCAGACTATTTTATTCATACCTACTGTTTCTCCAATAGCCACTCTAGTCTTTTCAAAATCAGCACAACAGGAAGGACAATACTTTTACACATCTCTGTGCATTTGCTCATATGGCTTCTTCAACCTAGATACTGCTTCTGTAACTGTAAAGGCTCCAAAGCCAAGATAAAATATCATGACCTTATGAAGTCTTCCATAAGCCCATATACTGGGATAAAAAACTCCTTCTTCTGGTGTTGCATGGTGTTTTAGCTTTTTCCTTCACAATGTGCATATACTGTGTATACTGCCAACTAGCCTAAAAGCTACTCAGGTACCAAGACTGTTTCTTATCAAGACTGTTTCTTATCTATTAAATTTATCAAAGCAATCAACAATTACTGGAAACTATTTATAAATGCAGATTTATAATTTGTATATGTCTATATTTCTAGCTACTCTGTTTATGCTCTTGAGAGAAAAGACACCAAATGTGGCCTCCTGTATGCCAGTTCTCTAAAGACAACATTGAGAAACATGAAACTACTTGCGAGTTATTCCTACTCTCAATAAAAATTATACTTCAAGAAAGTCACAGCTTCCTATAACTAAATCATAAAGATACTCTTCAAATATCATAAGCAAATTTCAAATTTCTGGAACAAAACCATATTCTGCTTACTTACCAGATTCTTACTATAATACTCCCATAGAATGGTGACAATTGAAATGTTTGGCTCCCAGAAATCACAAAGTGTCAAACAGCAGTGAAGATACATTCGTAAATCTTCTTCTAGTACATCATCCTAAAAAACAAAACTGTTCTAAGTTATAAAGGAGTAAGTGGCTTCTCACAAAATGTGCTGAAAAACCTACTACTAAAAAGAATATGAATATCACCAAATCACAGCCATTCTCATCCAGGACACAAGGACTAATATGACATAAAGTAAGGTAAACAAATCTCACCATTAGTATATTCAGATAATGGAAACTATGTAATTAACTTTCACTTTTCATTTCATTATTTAAAACATGTAATAGGCATTTCATAATGTGTCAGAAACCCAAAAAAACAAATCCAACTAAAAAAGTGTGAAAGTGATCTAATAATTAAAATGTTCAAAAATTCAGAAAGCTTGGTCATATTTAAGAACTTGGCCAAATTCTTTTATAAGATTATGACACTTGTTTAAAAACCACAGACCTGGGTCTTGAAAACAGTACAGTGGCAGAATGCTTCCCTAGCATTCAGGAGGCCCTGAATCCAGTCTCCAACAAAACTATTATTATTACTCTTATTGTTATTATTAATTGTTATTACTGCTCAGCAAGCTGGCTAAGAGGGTAAAGGCACTTGCCACCAAGCCTGACGAACTGAGTTCATTCCCTGGGACCCACGTGGTGGATCATGCATAGAAAACAAATAAAAGGTAAGAATGGAAGCAAGGACACCAGTGAAAGGGCAATTCTGTAAAACTATGTCTGGGATAAGAACACAATTTTAGGGATAGTTTTGAAAAAGAAGTGTTTGTTAACAATTACATTAATGTATCAAAGGAAGACACTAAGAAAAATTCAAGGTTGGGCTTTATGAAAATGGGTTCCAGAATTGGCAAAGATCAGGGGTGAAGTAAACAAGTACAGGGAGAATGAACATGGCATCCACACAGAGGTATTAAAGACATAGTATATAAAATAAACAGGTTTAGAGTTCAGGGGCAAAGTTGGAACTGTTGGCATAAATCTGGGTGTTAACATCACATTAATACTTTGTAGAGCTAAGAGGCTACATATAATAAGTCAATGAAAGAACACAACTGAGAATCTTTTGGTGCTCTAGCATTTAGATGAGTATTTTAAACAGGAACAGTGGTGAATAGGCTTGAATGCTATTGAGTAGTTTAAAAATGAGAAATAAGAGCCCTCTGACTTAACAGCATACAGGTCAGCAATGTCTATGACAATAGTACTGTGGGCACAGTGAAGACAGAAACTCGATTACGGATGCCTGAGAAGATAAAAGGAAGTGGAAAAGTAAATATAATTAACAGCTATAAATTATATATATATA